GATTTTTGTTGGCGATTAGAAACAACTTGTTAAACTTCAAAATAAATGTACTTATTTGTACTTTCAGCTGATTAGAACCTGATATTGATAACATCGCTATCTGAAAATCTGCAAAAAACGGCCATGACTGTGATAATATAAAACTAAACATGTCCATGAGCATTGAGCATGTGGATTAAAAGCGTAATGACCCTCAACGTAAAGTCTAACAAGAAAGTAGGTAAAAAACAAGAAATCTGCATTTATGTGTTCAAAAGTAAAGCCAATATTAAACCCTGAATCCCTGTGAGCTAAATCTAGTTGATAATGGATGAACTAGTCTGGTTACAATGTTGGCATGTTCGGACTACACTAGAGTAATATATAGTTAAACCTTGCCAGCTCAATACCAACTTTAGATATATCTAACGTATCTATAGATATATCTATATTTATAGATATATCTATCAAATCTTTAGAGATCTCTATTGTAATTTATAAATATATCTATCATATCAATAGAAATTATTATTATTCGTACACAGTTATAATGGTACAGTTAAAAGAAACGAGGATTGGGAAATATCTACATAATAAAACAAAACATTCATATGTTCCTTATAGCCGGCCAAATGGCTGGACCGAATGGGCTGAAATTTTTTGTGGACACTCATGGGTGGCCGGGGGCTTAAAAAATTCGAAATTTTTTAATTTAATTTAATTTTTTTTTTTAAACTTTTATAAAACAATTAATAAAAAAAAATTTCACGAAAATGCCGGGCCCTTCAGCTAGTAACATAAAAAAATATATATAATTAATATATAATCGAAAACAATAAAAAATCATAGTTTTTACATATATCGTCAATAATTTCAGCTATTTCATCATAATTAAATCCGTCTAACTGTTTGATTTGACTGAATTAATAGTAAATCTTCTAACTGTGGAATTTTCCACGCATTTTCACCAGTTTTCGCGTAACTCATGTTTGACTTAATTATAAGGGACTTGTTCAAGTACAGCAATATTGGATAAAATCTGACATAATTTTGTTCTTTGGTCATTTTTACATAAGTCAAACAAGAGTCGGATGCTGAGCTTGGAACTTTTACTTATAGATTCACAAAATAATCAAAATCGGCTCCATCAAACTAGTTTTTAAAATGAATTTGTTCAGAAATTATAATAAAATATCTATGATTTTGTCGTGGCAAATCAAATAAAAATACTAATAGTAGAATTCCAATATTTTATCATATCTTTAGAGTTATCCACCGTATCAATAGATATATCTATCGCATCTATAGATATATCTATCGTATCTATAGATATATTTAAGGTAATTTTATCTCTATCTATCGCTAGTTTTCGGACCCAGTTTTGTCTGGAATGATAATCAACCGAATCAACTAATGTCATGCTAACTCTGTGATCCATATACTCAGGAAGGAGGTACAGGATGGCAGGGATGGGTGGGTACCATGGTAGCATTCGTGCCATTATATAGATAGATTGTATTTATACAGATATCTATATTATAACTAAACACTATCATATCACAGGGGGTTATAAACGCCAAAATAATTGACATCTTATATAATTATGCAAAGCGTAGTTATTTATATTTATTTATTTATTTATTTAAATTCGTTAACGTACACACTTAAAGTAATTGATACAATAAATAAACAAAAAAAAAATAATCTTTGTCTGCATAATTTCTCAGATTTTTTGCAGTTTTTGCAATTTGATCAGATTTTAAAAGATTTAACAAAAAACCTGACTCATAGTTTGACGAATTTTCTAATTAATTGCAAGAAACAAATCTAATGCAGAGCACACATATATATGTATTTTTATATATGTATATATATATATAAATATAAAAGAATATAAAGAATTGGTCTCTGTTATGGTGTATGTATTATATGTCCAATAATAAATCATGATCTCTTGACCAATTTGCCTTAAATTTAGATTGAGGAACTCGAGAGAACCATGGAAATGTTCTTATCTTGGTTTGAAATTTAAGATTAGTTTAAGGCAAAGCTGGGTTCCCAAACAATGTTTCCTAAATGCAAGAGGTGAAACCGTAGCACTTAATAATATAACCATGTTAAATTTTCCTCCTACACTCCTAAGGAACATATTAGGTGGCTTGTTCATATTAACTAAAATAATATAACTATGTTACATTTTCCTCCAACCCTCCTGAGGAACTTATTAGGTGGCTTGTTCATATGAACTAAAATAATATAACTATGTTACATTTTCCTCCAACCCTCCTGAGGAACTTATTAGGTGGCTTGTTCATATTAACTAAAATAATACAACTGTCACATTTTCCTCCAACCCTCCTGAGGAACTTATCAGGTGGCTTGTTCATATTAACTAAAATAATATAACATGTTACATTTTCCTCCAACCCTCCTGAGGAACTTATCAGGTGGCTTGTTCATATTAAACATTTTCCTCCAACCCTCCTGAGGAACTTATCAGGTGGCTTGTTCATATTAACTAAAATAATATAACTGTCACATTTTCCTCCAACCCTCCTGAGGAACTTATCAGGTGGCTTGTTCATAATAACTAAAATAATATAACTATGTTACATTTTCCTTCAACCCTCCTGAGGAACTTATTAGGTGGCTTGTAAATAATAACTAAAATAATATAACTATGTTACATTTTCCTCCAACCCTCCTGAGGAACTTATTAGGTGGCTTGTTCATAATAACTAAAATAATATAACTATGTTACATTTTCCTCCTACACTCCTGAGGAACATATTAGGTGGCTTGTTAATATTAACTAAAATAATATATAACTATGTTACATTTTCCTCCAACACTCCTGAGGAACTTATTAGGTGGCTTGTTCATATTAGGTGGCTTGTTCATAATAACTAAAATAATATAACTATGTTACATTTTCCTCCTACACTCCTGAGGAACTTATTAGGTGCCAGGTGGCTTGTTCATATTAACTAAAATTACTTCTGAAAAGTAAGTTGTTAAGTCTATAACAAAATTGAACTTTTAGTTAATTGTTAAATTACTATATTCTAATTAAATTACCGAAGGATGAAACATTAATGAGTTTTAACGAATTTCCAAAAGGTTTTATTTATAAACTCTAAATGGGATTTTAAATACATTTATTTAGTTCCTCTATATACACACACATATATATTTTATATCACAGAACATGCAAGGTTATAAGGTGAGTATAAGACATTTATAACAAAGTGAAATTTGTTGATAATTGAGATTTAAAATCAACAGAGAAGGGGTGTGTGAAATAATTTACAATAAATTTAAAGATAATAGTTTTTAGAATGTAAATAAAACATAATGAATTAAATAATAAAGATTGAAAAATGAACTTAGTAATGTAAACATGCAGAATTTAATGGTTAAAGGAAATAGTAATTAAGAATATCAAAGAAAAGGATGGACAAAAGAAATAATGATTTTAAAATCATACATTTAAAAATTAAGAACCAGTAAATTATGAAAAATAGTTTTAAGATTTCATCACAACTATTGTATATTGAAATCAAAAAAGGCTTGAATAAAAATGAATAAATCATTTATTGGAATTGAATAAATTCTATCAGCCATTACGTCTTTTCCTCGAATTTTTTATCTGAACTCCATCAATACTTTGTATCTTTAGACCTGGAATCCAGGGGTTTAAATTTAACCAAAAAATCTCCATTAATGTCAGTGAGTAACGTTTCAACATAGTTTTTAAACAATTTTTTAATTAGAGAGCAATATTGAAGGTCACGTTGACAAACACTAATAATTTCAAACATTCTTAATTATAAACCATATATTATTTTAATTACATTTTTTGTTATTTCGATCAACATGCAACAAAAGATTTTGCAATAAAACGATTTTCCCCTCAAAGGAACTGCTAATGTAATCTCAAGAGACCCCTGTATAAGGATTTGCATGCCTGATTCACAACGGTGCCATCTTTAAAGGAAAAACGATGACGATATCCTTGCTTTTCTATCCGACCAACTATAAAGAAAATATCGTCTATTTTATCTGAAAAAGTATTCATTTCAGCCGGATGCCGAAATCACTTTTTAGAGGAACCTCAAAAGCAAAAATGGATATCTTCATGAAATCCTCTTTTAAGATTTTCTATTTTAATGGTGAACATTTTCTCTTTGTACACATTGTAAAAGAAAAACAAAAGAAAAAGTTCGAGAATTTTATGAAAACAAATTTTGTGGACTTTCTAAATTTTTAAAAATCGAATTTTAGCAGAGGCAAATTTTTGAAAATTTGATCATCTATAAACCTTCCCTTGGTTCACGTGAAGACCAACAAAAAATTTGGGTTCAGCCGTTTTGATGTTTATTGGACACAAACAGACATACAGACAGACCAGTAAAGTATATATATAGATGATTTAAATAAAATGCAGAATCTTACTTGTCTTTGGTTTTCTTGTCATTAATCTAAGGAAAAAATCAGCTGCCTTTTTAGTGAAATTTACTTTTAATTCTTAATTTTTTTTTTACTTTTATACTTTTTAGTTTTCTTTTATTTCCGTCAAATAAATATATTTTTAGGCAATTCAGCCATATTTAACCCGTCTTCTAAAAATAGGTCTTCATTTTCACTTCAGGAGATATATGCATATCTTTCATTCTTTTTGATATTGCATTGTTTTATTCTTTAGGTAGATAATTCGCTTTTTTCAAGCTTTATCACATTCACAGCCAAGATGAAGATTATTTTACGTCTACTACCAAACCTCCATTACATTTTTAAATCATGAATAAATGTTTCATAAAGTTTTTTATACTTTCAAAAGTGCATTTTTTCTTGCATGGAACTTTTTTACCTTCAGAATCGTTTAAAAAATTCAAGTCAAGATTTTTTGTTAACTTAGAGCACTTCGAATGAACTATTTGGAGTAACATTTTATCACTTCAAATCTAAGTTTTGAGTCTAAAATTTGAGATTTTTTTAGTAAAGTTGTTTAGCTTCTATTCCTACTCGTAGGGTGAAAAATCAGATCTATGACTGAGAGTTAAACTCCTAGGATTTACAGGATCCGAGTCCAGGAAGGAACTTTGATTAGAGACACCACCAGAGCTATATGTGCTACCCGGAGCATATATAAGTTGAGGAGATGAGGACGGTTGAACTCCATTAGGACTAGTCCTCTGCCGTCCTATCGTTGAGTAACGGACTACATTGTCCCTAGCAGGACTAGGAGTGGAGTAATCTGTGTGTGAGTTTCTCAAAACTTTAGTTCCTCGTCCAAGGGTTGAATATCTGGGTTCATGAGATGATAGGAACTGAGGTTCAGGGAGAGGGGTTGGGATAATCTCAATGTCAGGATCACAGTCTACTGTATCTAGGTCTGTGGTTGAAGGAAGTCGCGGAGAAAGGCTTCGAGCTCTGAAAAACCTGATCAGATAGGCGATCAAAAAGGTGACTGTTCCCAGCGCTGCGGCTAGGATGAAGCAGATAACAACCTCGATCTTGTGCTCCTGAAAAATAAAATTTTAAGTCGGAAATATATTTAATATTTCAAGGTTATTTTCAAGGGGTTAAATTGAATTCCATTTCTCGGATTGAAACTCATTGAACCGTCTCTCAATACAAGATGAAATTAGTATTAATCCTTTAATCATGTATTTGCAAACTAAGAGCTAGATGCAAGCTAGNGCTTAAGAATTTTTTTAGAAAAGTGTTTAAACATTATGTTTTAGTCAACCGAAAACCCGCTAAATCATTTAAAACTTTTAAAATAGAATTTTTTAACATGCTACTCTGACTAAATCAAGGATTTGCCGCTGCTGGAGCCCTTAAATCTTTTCTATATGGCTGTTAGAATATAATTATATATTTTGATTATCCCGAATCCCTTGTGCTTTCTTTTACGACTTGTACTTTTACTATAAAATATATGATTTTTTTCTAAAATACTTGCTTTAACAAAGGCGACATCTAAGTATATTGCGGGATTACAGGATCCATTCAAGGATATATATATATGAACGGGAAAAGTAATTATAAATTAAATCATTATAAATAAATGTTAGCTACAATTAATACAATTAATTTTTGTAAATGAAAAGATTATAAGAGCATATTCATTTTGTCCATTTTCACTATGAAACACAAGACAAATGCCTTTTAAGAGGAGTATTGTGACAAAACAGTCACCCCCCCCATGTCCGCCTAAAATACCCCACAGTGGGGGGGTGGGGGGGTCGATAGGTTGGCAAATATATTTTATTAATGTTGACATATATGAGGTTTATATCCCACTAACTAGATACACATGCTCTAACCCTTTAACTTCAACCCCTGTATTCTTTCTTACTTTCCACCTCCATTTGTACTTCTATACTAGCTAACTCATGAGGGGTTAGCCATGAATATTAGACCCGTAGCTAGGATCTCTTCAAGGAAGGGGTCAAAGTTTAGAAACTCAATAAAGGTAAAACAAAGGGGCAACACATTTTTTTACCTGAAAAAAGGTCAAAACTCAAGACAAAAAACTGTATTTTCAACTAAACTTATTGCGCATTATTCTTAAACAAAGATATAAATTTTAGTATTACAAACAGCTTCTTCTAAGCTTATCTATACTTTTAATTTTTTCTGTAAGATAGGTAATTAAAATCATTGAAAAGGAAAAGAAAAGTTTTTTCAAATGCAAAAACTTATTAAGACTATTAAAATCATTCTAAATAGAAATAAAAAGTGCTTAACTGAACTCCATCAATACTTTGTA